GTGTACGAGCGCAAAATTTCACATGCACTATTTTCGCCGGTCGCTTAGCTGGAGGAGGGCAAGCGATTGTCGCCTCACCGCACAGACTCTATAGGAAATGAATGGAGAGAGAGCGACGTCGCCTCCCGTGTGTCGAGCCCTTAACGCTGATAACACTAACGCTGTTAACATTAACGCTACTAACATTAATGCTGCTAACACTAACACTGCTAACACTAACACTGCTAATGCTAATACTGCTAACATTAATGCTGCTAATGTTAACGCTGATAATACTAACGCTGCTAACACTAATGCTGCTAATACTAACACTGCTAATGCTAACACTGATAATAATAACGCTGCTAACATTAATGCTGCTAATGCTAACACTGATAATACTAACGCTGCTAACACTAACACTGATAACATTAAGTCTGCTAACACTAATGCTGCTAACACTAATGATGCTAACATTAATGCTGCTAACACTAACGCTGCTAACACTTCCCTACAACACATCAAACTTGCAGTTGCGTCTGTTGTCTGAGCTGCACTTCAAACTGTCGGACCACAGCTACCATCCATGTTGTCTTCAATGAACACATTTTGAATTTATATTTTAAAAGCCATCCTCAGCAGCATTAGCAACGTGAACGTTTACTTTTGTCGCAGAATGATGACATCACAAGAACAGCTGTGCACCAGCGACAAAGGCCGCATTCCATGTCGAAATTCTTAAATGTGAGCTTTATCATTTAGGTGCAACATTTAAGATTTCGTTTTTACATTTAGATTGAAGATTTACATAAAACATTAATAAATAAATTTAACATTTAGTAAAAAATAGCAATAAGAATGAGCTGCATTACAATAAAATGTTTTTAACTACGATTTTATACTCAGAAAGTACAATTTATTTTACACTTGACGCCTCACTGTTTCCATCTGTCCTCTTCTACTTTTCTTTCTGAACTTTTCATTCTGCCTGTTTGCTCCAGAGCTCCAGCAGCATGATGATGCTCAGCATCAGGCTGCAGAAAAAGAAGATTTCAGCTGCTTTTGTGATAAAAACACAAACGATCAGCTGCTGTCATTTGTCCCTGGAAGTTGGAACGAAACACAAATAAGTTAGCAGGAAGTGGCCACATGTCAGTGTTAGCGTGTGTTCAGAGATGATTTAGTCCGGGGAGAATGCAGATGTGTCTAATGACCTCATTGTTTCCTCTGCTGTGATTGTGACCAGGGCTGTCCTCGTCCAGGGCTGTCCTTGTGCAGGACAACCCTGGACGAGGACGTCTGTTTTCATGTGTCGCTGTAAAACAAGTCGCTCATCCTGGTGTTTGTTGTGAGAACACGTCCGTTTAAAACGTCCCTCTTCACTGTGTTTCAGGGGTGAACGTGATGCTGCGCAAGATCGCCGTGAAAGCCGCCTCCAAGCCGCTGGTGGAGATCACGCAGGACGGAGAGAAGCTCTCCATCAAGACGTCCACCACCGTCCGCACCACCCACATCACCTTCACCGTGGGGCAGGAGTTCAACGAGAGCACGGTGGACGGGCGTCCGTGCACGGTAAACAGCTCCTCGTGCACCGGGGAGGAAGCTGTCCAGATAAAATAAATCTGTTTTTATCACAGCTCCACTTTGCTCTCAGAGGGCCCATCAACTCCTTCACACGCTTTGCTTCTCCTTTCAACATCTCATTCTCTCCCCACACTCCCCTCCTGCCCTCTGTCGCCCTCGTTCCCTCCCTAACCCTCTCGACTCCTCCTTGTGTCGTCCCCCCCCCCCTCCGGGTGGCCGTCTCCAAAGCAAACAGATAAAACCAGCCAGGACTTCAGTCAAGTCCTGATGAGAACATCACAGCTTATCACCACTCAGTTTCAGCTTCCTCTAACAGACATGAAGTTTCACTTTTGTACGGGATCAATCTTGTGCCAACAGGAAATGAATTTGAATTGCTCAGATTGCATCAGAATGTGCATAATTTGAAATCAAATGCATTAGTTTGAAATTAAATTTCACTAATTTGAAACTGAATTTAAAGTTTTGATTTTGAATTCATTTGCTTTGAAACTGTATTTTGCGTTTTTAAAAATTTAGTTTGACTACTTTCACTTTCAGTTCCAAAATTCAAATTCCAAAGGTGAGCACAATAAGCCTGAGAATTTGGTTATAAACAGGACAGGAAAAGAAAAAAAATGTGTTGTCAGCTTTTATTTTATGTTTATTTGTGGGTCAGATAATTTTAACTTTTTACTAAAATGAATCATGTGTATGGGATAAATCTTGTGCCAACAGGAACTGAATCTGAATGTTCATAATTTGAAATTGAATGCATTGGTTTGAAAATAAATGTTACTAATTTGAAACTGAATTTAAAGTTTTGAACTTGAATTAATTTGCTTTAAAACTGTATTTTGGTTTATTAAAAATTCAGTTTGACTACTTTCACTTTCAGTTCCATAATTCAGATTTTTGTGTCACATCCTGGTCCTTGAGAAAGCCAGGCAGAGTAATCAAACACAGATCCACAGATTTATGTTTCACGTCAGTGAAGCTTCCTTCTATAATGTAACAGACAGTTTAAAACTCCACTGTAAGAAGTTTGATAAATACGGGCCCAGGAGTTCTTTGTTACACTACATTGAGGCACCTTGATTAAAAAAATGTTTTTAAATGATGGTGTGGTGTTGACTTCATTTAAACATTATTCCATCTTACTGTAAACACTGACTGACCTGCATTAGGCTGGCTGTAGTGAACAAGTATTAGTGTTTCCAGAAAGTTGTAAAAAGGCCTTTCTTAATTTATAAATGTTTAATCATATTACCTTGAGCCCTCAGTATTGTTAAAATTGACATTAAAT